CAGTGTCTAAGTGTTCCTTTTTCTCCGCATCCTCGCCAGCATCTCTTGTTGTTTCATTAATGACGACCAGTCTTACTGGGGTTAGGTGGTATCTCAATATGGTTTTGATTTGCATTTCTCTGATGATGAGTGAGACTGAGCACTTTTTCATGTGTCTGTTGGCTGCCCATATATCTTCTTTTGAGAAATATCTATTCATGTCTTTTGCCCACTTTTCAATGGGGCTGTTTGTTTTTTTCCTTTTGGTGTGTTTGAGTTCCTTGTAGATCCTAGATGTTAGGCCTTTGTCAGATATAACTATTTTACTTCTAAGTACATACTCAGGGAAAAATGAAAACATATTTTCACACAAAAATGTGTACAGAAATGTTCATAGCAACATTATTGATAATAGCCAAAAGGTGGACACAACCGAAATGTTCAGCTAATGAATGAATAAATGAAATGCAATATATCCATATGATGAGATGTTATTTAGCAATAAAAAATAAATACCAATATGTGCTACAATAGTGATCCCCAATCTTTTCAGCATCAGGTACTGGTTTCATGGATTACAGTTTTTCCAAGGACTGGGGGTTGGGGGAGGTGGGATGGGGTATGGCTTCAAGAGGATTCAAGCATATAACATTTATCGTGCGCTTGATTTCTATTATTATTACACTGTAATATAAAATGAGATTATTATACAACTTGCTATAAAAAAAGAGACATGGATGGAAGTGGTAAATAAAACAATGGGCGGGCCACACATGGACTATAATAAGCATCGAATTCTGACTTAAAGCCTGTCACCAGATGCACCTATACAATTGAAGTACATCGGCTCACTTGCCAGTCACTGACATGAGGGTTTTGATAGGAGTCTGCAAGCAATTGATTTATTATGGTTCCTGGGCAAACTTCACTACTAACATTACTCTGTATTTGCAACCACTCCCCAGTGCTAGCATCACCACCTCACTCCACCTCAGATCATCAGGCATTAGATTCTCATAAGGAGCACGAAACCTTGATCCCTCATATGCACGGTTCATGATAAGGTTCGTGCTCCTAGAGAATCTAATGCTGCGACTGATCTGACAGGGGGCGGAGCTCAGACAATAATGCGAGTGATGAGGACCAGTTGTAAATCCAGATGAAACTTCACTGGCTTGCCCACCACTCACTTCTTGCTGTGTAGCCCAGTTCCTAACAGGCCATGAACTGATACTGGTCCATGGCCCAGAAGTTGGAGACCCCTGTGCTACAACACAGATGAACCTTGAAAACAATATGCTCAGTGAAAGAAGCAAGTCTCAGAAGAAGGCAGTCCTTTTATACACAAAGTGTCCAGAATAGGAAAATCTACAGAGACAGATTGCTAGTGATTGCCTGGGACTGGAGGGCGAGATTGGGAGAAAACTCAGGAATGGTTAATGAGCACAGGATTTCTTTCTGGGTTGATGAAAATGTTCCCAAAGTTGCTTGTGGTGATGGTTGCCCAACTATGTGAATATACTGAAAGCCATTGAGTAGTACGCTTTAAATGAATGAATCATATGGTGTGTGGTGATAGCTCAATAAGGCTGTTATCCAAAATGGCTGTTATGAGAGTTAAACCACACACCATAAATTTGTAGATAGGCTGGGCTCGGTGGCTCAGCCTGTAATCCCAGCACTTTGGGAGGCCGAGGTGAGTGGATTACCTGAGCCTGGGCAACTTGGCGAGACTTCATCTCTACAATAAATCAAAACTAGCTGGGCGTGGTAGCACACGCCTGTAGTTCCAGCTACCTGGAAGGCTGAGGCGGAAGGATGGCCGGAGCCCAGCAGGTCGAGGCTGCAGTGGCCGGGAGCATGCCACTGCACTCCAGCCTGGGCGGCAGAGTAAGACTCCAACTCAAAAAAAAAAAATGTAGATAAATTATGTTTAAATGACTGAAAATGGCAGTCACAGATTTTTGTTTTGTATTACGATCTAGCATGTACTGCTTGCTGCTTTGATGCCTACTTAGATCTCATCCAACCTTTGTGATCCTGTTAAGGTCGTTCCTTCTCCTGAGGAGAAGAAAGGAAAGCTGAAGACGGGGACAGGGAAGAATGAAGTTGAACCCCCACCTTACTTGATATACAAAAATTAACACAAAATGGGAAGGGGTTAGACAAAGGAAAGAAGAGGGAACACCCTTTATTTCTACTACTTCTCTGAAAGCAGAAAATCAAACCTCAAGTCATGTTTGTGTTTCTGGCGTGACGCCGGAGCTCCGGGCTGACCTCTCAGCTTTGTCTCTGGCTCTTCACTCAGGCCCTGCCCCTGGAGCTCACTGAAAGCCACTCAAAAACGAGACAGTGGCAGGTGGAACCACAGAAAGCTATATCTACAGAAGTTGATGCTAAACGTCAGAGATGTGAAATGACTTGGCTCAGGTCACACAGCTCATTAGTGTCAGAGTTAGGCTAGAACCCTAGGATTAGGTCTGTTCACTCATGATTTACTCTCCCTCAACCGGTCCCTCCCACCAAGTATAGAGAGTGCTGTGTGCCAAAGCCACGTTGCTCTCGTCCTCCCTTGTTCCAGAGTAAGTTCTCCTCCCATACACAGGACTGTAGGAGTGAGCTCCAAGACGGAGTTGGGTAACACAGTGACCCTGGTGCAGGGCCTATGTGGTGAAGCCCATGTGGTGAACTTCAGCCTATGTGGTGAAGACTAACAAGTGTCAAAGACCACAGAGATACTCTGTCACACGTCCAGGGACACCCAAGGAGGCTATATGGAAGGGCTGCACTGCCCTTTCTTCACGTCATCTTTGAAGACCAACTCTTACAAGCATTATAGGGCTGCCTCCAGGAATAGAGTGCAATCTTCTTAGCAAACTTATTTTATTCAGCTTGGGCTTTATTTTGAAATAATGAGTTCCAGAAGTAGGACAACACAGTAGGATGTGATAGTCTCTAATCTTCACCCTAGTCTTGACTCTCTGGTGCTTTTGAAGTACTTCCCTGTGGCAGTACTCTGAACCTGTGAATAGCATGACTGGGTCTTTTTTTTAAAGGTGTTGGCTACTGTAATCATATCCTCTTGGGTTTGGGCCTCTCCCCATAGAATTTTCCTGTCTCCCGCCTCACTGTTCTTTCTACCACCCATTCATCATCCCAAGTGTCCTCTCTGCATTTTTTTTTCCAACTCTGTAGTTACTGACTTAATTTGTGGGACTGTAGGTTCACCCCAATGTGGATGCACCATGCTTTTGCACTTTGGAAAGAATATGTCTTCTGGTTTGTTTCCAACACTCTGAGAAAGTCCAACTCTTTTCTGGCCTGTTGAGTACAACAGCTCATTAATTCCACTTCCTTCCCTTCAAGAGGGGAAAAGACTACTTTAGATTGTTTCACAGTGGAGGCTATCTGCCATTTTATGCTACTTTTATAGAAAGCTTCTTGTGTTTCATTCTTGCGGGATTGACATTTTCATTGTTAGAAGAATTTCATGTGACCTGTGGATGTGGGATGTTTACTGTGCATTCTCTCCTTTATATCATTTGTAAGACAGCTAATAAAGACCGATTCTATTTGCGACTTTTGTAGGATTCTCCTTTTTCCATACATAAGCTATATTCATTCTCCTTAACCTTACTTCTCATTTATAACTTTTAAAAGAAGCCCTGAGTTACTCTGTGGTTCTTGGTGTTGACTCTTACCAAGAGTATTTTGAAAGTCTTAAATTATATCCATCGGCTTCCCCTTAGCCACATCTTTGTATATTGCTCAAACAATGTTAACTGGTAAGTTAGGAATGGGTTTCTCTTAAAAATGTGTTTTCTTCCTATTTTGTTAATGTGTTAATTTCTGTAACAAGTCAGGCCATTCCTATAAATCCTGTTCCATGTGGATGGGACAGTCTGCAGTGTATCAGTGCCAGGGCTTCCCACCCTACCCGCCTCACTCTCACCTTTGTAAGGAATCCCAGTGGCCGTTCACTCAGTCTGCACTTGTAGTTACAGCTTACATGTTTTGGCAAACAATTTTCTAATTTTGCTTTGGGGCGCCTTCATAATCGAAGATGTAATCCTGTCTTAATGGTAACAGAAGTCTGTCTGGTTTTTCAAATCAGGTAAGTCTAGTTAAGGCCAATCCCCTAAAATCATATTCATATTATGTCAGGTATCCATTGTCTGAGAAGTATTCATTGACAGATTCAGCTTGAATGTGCTCTGGGGATTCTGGGCTTGAACTGGATCCAGCAAACTCCTACAGAGGCAGTAATCAGAGATGGGTGTCACACCAGATAACGTCTGAAACCCCAATCTGATATCCAAATACCCCAAGACCTGCCCATCGGTGTCTCTCTATCCTATCTCCCTCTCTGTCCTTGTCATAATTTCCTACCAAGACTGTGAACCTAAATCCTTGGACTTGAACACAGAGTGTACAGTAACTTGCAGTACTGATCATTTTTGTACTGTGCATATCCTATTTGCCCAAAGAGATTGGGAGCTACTCTGGGTGGGTGCCATGTCTTCCATCTCTTGGAAAGCCTGCCACCCAATAACTGCTTCAAAAAGGTAGTACAATGTCATAACATTTATAGCACCTCCTATATTTGCCTACCCACTCTCTTCTGCTGTAAAGCAGCATGGCATTTACTGTGTCTAAATTAGGCAACAACTTGTTCATCAGCAAGTACGAACAATGCCTCATTATACTCATATTAGGAAATCCACAATCGAGAGACATTTCAGGGCAGTCTCTTTTCATCCCTTGAAATCTTGGGTCTGATACATTGAATTTTTGTGGTGGTTTTTTTCCCCTGTTCTTCTTTTACTTTGATTACTAAGAGTCTAAGAGGTTCAGGAAAGGTAGAAACACAAGGGGAGAGCATGAGGATGTCAGTAACTCCAGCACAAAACAGGCTCTTCTCCTTTCCATTTGATGTTTAAGAAAATAGAAGACCCCATTCACTGAGGGTAAAGCCATTTCAGCAACTGTAGGTTTAGCCACAGAAAAACCATGCGGCTTACAAAATAAAGCAAAGGAGTCCCTCAAGTGGCATTTGACAGCAGCCCAAGGTTTAGCACCCTTTCTCAACTCAGTTGGGAAAACCTAGGAAGGAACACAGTGAGGAACAGGATAAAACTCTTATCGTCTGTTGGGAATGTGCCAAAGAAAATCAGACAACAGAAAAAAACAGGGCTTGTCAGTCACCCCGCTGGTTTCAGGGGCGCCCTGCTCACTGCCGCCTCCATGAAATGAGTCACCCCTTGCAAAACCCGTCATGGCTCGAGTTTAATCAACCTCACAGCAGCCTGGGAGGAAGCATCACTCCGTCCTCCCACAGCAGATAGGTCACCTGGGGTGACAGAGCATAGAGGGAGAGCTACAGGTTACACAGGTGAGGAGAGAATCAGGGATGGCACCCATGGGAGGGGAGGGAAGCAGACACCCAGGGGAAAGGGAAGTGAAGCCCGCTGAGTAGCCTTGCTGAGCTGGTTCTGGAGGGCATCGTGAAATCAGGGACCACCTTCTGCTGCTACTCCTCACTGTCAGGCTCCTCATCACTGTCCTCCCCCAGGGGAAACTCCTTCGTGGGCTTCGGGGTTGCATACATCCGGGTCTCCATGGGGCAGTCCTGGCTCAGAATAGCCTGCAGCAAGAGGCAAGAAATAATTGCACATCTTTTAAAAGTCTCCCCATTCCGTCCTTCCACTAGTTTGTCCATGTCTAATGCTGCTGAGAAAAGACTCAAGAAACAGGCATAGGACCCTCTTTCTGCTTTGTGGACATGCATAGGCCTCCCGAGGTACCTAGTTTATCAACCCTGGTCAGGACAAACATCTGATATGCTGTTAATTGAATCCTAACAGCACTAGTGCAAACTATGGCAGGAAGCCAGCTGAAACTGGCATCTCTCTCTATCAGAACTTCCTGTCTTTTTTTTTTCCCTTACAGCAGCATCTATAGCCACCACTAACCCATCTAGACCCTCAGGGGTATCCCCCATGCTGCAATAAAAGGAGAGTACCTTATTAAAGAAAAATCATATGTTGTGGATCTCTTCCCTGGGCTTTTCCTACTTTAAAAGAGATAACCTGGTAATGGCACACTCGAATGAGTAAGTGAGTAAATGAATGTGACCTATGGAATTGTGCCCATTTATAGGGGAGATAACTTGGTGATTCATATCTTGCTAGTAACTACAGCAACTACAGGATGGCTTTGATGGTGCCGGTCCCCATTTTTCTTCTTTTTTTTTGAGTTGGCGTCTCACTCTGTCGCCCAGACTGGAATGCAGGGGCACGCTCCCAGCCACCGCAGCCTCGATTTGCTGGGCTCTGGCCATCCTTCCACCTCAGTCTTCTAAGTAGCCGCAACTACAGGCGCATGCTACCATGCCCGGCTCATTTTTTATTTATTGTAGAGACGAGGTCTTGCCAAGTTGCCTGGGCTGGTCTCGAACCTGTGGGCTCAGGCAATCCACTCATCTTGGCCTCCCAAAGTGCTGCGATTACAGGCTGAGCCACCGAGCCGGCCCATTAACAGCCCAGGTAAGAGAGAAAGTGGTGACTTAGAGAGAAGGGATAGTAGAGGGGCACAAAGAGGGGATAGGGATGAAAAGGGAATCAAAAAATATAACAAAGCAGAGTGATGATCAACAGAGGGAGAAAATAAGAGCACAGGGCGAGAGGGAATGAGAGAGAAATAATGGAAAGAAACAGTAGTGTGTTTTGTTTTGTTTTTAAGCTGTCAGAGCGCCTTACAAGCTTCTCCTCCTTGGCTGGGGGGTTCCGCAGGTAGTAGCAGAGAGGAGCATAGACGATGTTGATGATCCCAATGATGACCATGAGCCAGGGGAAACCGATGGCCCGCACAATGGCACCCCCAGTGGATGGGCCTGGGAGGAATACAGCAAATCCACAAGTGTTTATGGAGCCTGGCTCACATGGAAAACACTATACTAGGGGCAGCGGGTGACCCAGAGGACATCTCGAGGTCAAATACCGTGAGAACCCTAGGATAATCAGTCTCCTGTTACACTTGCTGCTGGTAAACAGTAGATAGGGAAAAGGGGGGCACCACCAGGTCCTGGGGGCTCCCCTCTGCCCCCACCAACATACCTATAGCAAAGCCCATGCAAAAGGCCACGTCGGCAATGGCATAGACACTCCCATACACTGAAGTGTGGCGCAGATCCACCAGGTGTCCCATGATGGGCATCATAGAGGAATCCACCATGCCTGTGGCCACAGCAAACAGGACACAGTCAGCCCACAGTTGATGATACACCCTCCATTTAGTCCACACTCTTTGCCTCCTGTTCTCTCACTTGGCACCAATATCTGTTCTGGGTGGGAATTATGAGCCCACCCTTCCATACCCCTGCCGGCTCTCCTCCTGTCTTTTCCCCTACCTCCTCTGATGAGAAAATGACAGGTCAATATTCAGGGGTTTCTTGTTTCCTTTGAGGGCACTTCTTACCTATGGCAAAGCCAAGCCCCGCATTGGGGCCAATGAGACCAAAAATATTGTGAGCCAGGGGAACCTGCAGGAAAAAGGAGGAAGAGTTTGTCATGACTCCAGCTGGGTCAGGTGGGGACAAGATTCAAGGGGTTTTGACGTGAATGCATTTATTAAGCATGTGCTGTGGGCCACGTACACCTTCTCTCTGTATCCTCACAGCTTCCCATGAAGAACCCTGACCTCCATCTTCAAGATGGACTGACTTGACTGGTGCCATTTGGGTTAAATGCTCTATCCACAGTTACAAGCCTGATGTGTGGCAAAATCAAGTCTGGACCTCAGACTCAACTCCATTATAGCAGATCAAGGGTCTTCTTCTATTGCACGGGAGCTTCGAACCCTTCCTCCACCCCTCCCTACCCAAATACACTTCTGTCCTCTTTCTTCATGGAATACAGTTGCCTCTCTTTTCCGTTACTGATATCACTCAGAGGTTTTTTCTGTTTGGTTGCTTTTTTGTTTTTGATTTTGTTTTGAGTCAGCTTCTCACTCTGTCACCCAGGCTAGAGTGCAGTGGCACAATCATGGCTCACCATAGCCTTGACCTGCTGGGCTCAGGTGATCCTTCCACCTCAGCCTCCTGAGTAGCTGGAACTGTAAGCATGCACCATCACACCCAGCTAAATTTTTTTGGTTTTTTTTTGTAGAGACGAGGTCTTGCTATGTTGCCTAGGCTGGTCTCATACTCCTGGGCTCAAGCAATCTACCTACCTCAGTCTCCCAAAGTGCTGGAATTACGGGTGTGAACCACCATGTCTGGTATCCCATCCAAAGGTTTTATTTAGACTGCTAACTTGGTAGTCATCAGAGCAAGAAGACAGAGAACTCAACAACCGATTAGCCCTAAGCTAGAGGGGGTAGGTGGTGTGGTCTGGATGCCACATCTGCAAACTTGTGAGATTCATCCTCACTGGCCTCCCAGTCCCCCACCGAAAACCTTTCCTTCCCTCTTTTGCGGGGGGAATACCTGTCAAAATTCATTATACTTTATCAGTAGTGTTGGCTGAGACTCACTATGGACTCACCATATGCCAGACACTATGGTTTAAGTGGGTTACCTTGACTACCCTTTGGATACCATCAGAATCCTCTCTACACAGGGGAAGACTGAGCACAGAGAGGGGAAGTTGCCAGTTCCAAGTCACACACAAAGCAAGTGTCAAAGCTGAAACAGAACCTGGAGCTTGTGCTCCTGGTCAGGACCTCTAGCCCATCTTGAGGATGATACTCATTGCCTGGCAGCCCATTTGCCTCTCCCACAAGCCAAGGAAGCTTGTATGCTTCTCACCCTCACGGGGGAGAGGAGAAAATGAAGGCTTAGCGAGCTTAAGGGGGACTCTTGAAAATGGAAAAACCCTTCTTTCTTTCTTCTACCAAGAATTCTGGTGCCAGAAGTTCAAGCATCGATGATGGTTCCCTAGGAACTCGTGGGGATCTGCTGGGGTGGGATGAGTAAATGAAGTCATAAAATGCACCATTCTGCTGGTCCCAGAAATAGATGCCAATATGTATCACTTTCTATGTCCATGCACAGAGCCTCGGACTTCTGGCCCCAGCTGCCCCACTGCCTATCCCTCTCCTTCCCCACCTCTCCTTCCCCACCTTCCCCACTCAACTGGTGGCAGCTCCTCAGTCCTACACAGAAGCAGTTCTTCTGAAAGTCCTTGCCTAGTCAACCCTCTATTCATTTTAAAGGAAAGTGGTCTTTAAATATCTGAGTATCTCTCTGTCTTTCTCTGTAACTGTCTGTTTCTCTCTCTGTCTGTCTCTCTCTGTCTCCGTCTCTCAACTAGACCTTACTATACTTACACAGAGCAAACTGGTACCTACTACCATCATCCCGACCAGGGAGCACAGCCACCTGGAAGAAAAGAGCCATCATCAAACAAGGCTAAGGGGAGAGCTCCCCTCTACCTGCCACTTTATCACCACCATGCTGGACAGTCCTACCATACTAATTCCAGCAAACCCTTAGGACCTAAGAAGATGACTGCATCTCTACATGACCAGTTCGCTCCCAGGTGAACCCTCTCCCTGTCCTCTCCTTGCCCCTTCCTTCTTCCCTGGCTCCCCATCTCTTTATATAGTAGAAACAGCGGAGATGAAATGGATCATATTATTCCTTCCCCTGGAAGAGAAATAAGCTGACCCAGAAGGTACTTGACCCTTGGGAGTAGCCCTCAAACTAAATCTATGCTGTTTCCCAGTTCCAGTTGCCTCCAACCTATCTGTATCTTATTTGGTCTTTGAGGTTTATCTCAAAAAATCCAAAAAGTACCATGCTTCTTCCCTTCTCTGATTTACCATGGCAGTGCTTTTTAAACTTATTTTTTAAATCTTTATCATGAGCCCCAAAGATGAAATTAAAGCTGTTAATCATAGTGGAGGAACAGAATCTAGACTTATACTCCTTGGCCTGAAACTTTTCCCCTAGGCAGCCTCTGGGGTGCCCCTGTAGAACTCCCTGGGGTTCCATGGAACCTTGACAACCACTGCCCCCAAAGTATTGCTTTCTTCATATATGTTCTCTGTTGGGGTTACTTTATTTCTTCAAGTGAATAGCAAATATCTGGAAAGTAAGTGTTGACCCTCATGGATCCACTGCCTCATCTACAGCAACCACCTCAGGATCATCCTTGCTCCATACTGCCCTCACCACCCACCCACCGCCCATCCTCCCAGTGGCAGTTTTTATGAGTGTCTCCTTGTCCTATATTTTCAACCTCAAAGAAGCTGGTCATCTTTCAAAGTGCAGAAACAACCTCAAAGGACTCTCCCATCTTGCATTCCTATTGTTCTTCCCAGCTCGCCAGGCTACGTACCGACCCATCTTGTTGGCCAACACACCAAAGAGGTTGGTGCCAATGAGGTATGACACGCTGGCAGGCAAGAAAGCTAGACCTGTGGAAGAACACAGATCCTCACCTTAGAACACGCCCAATTTACTCTTAAACAACTTGTCTCCTACAAGACAATGAAGTCTCCCAGTTACCTTCCAGGATCCCCAAGCCACTTTGTTTTATGGTTTGGGGATCTCTGTGCAAAGCCGAAGCATATGTCAAAGAACCCCACATCTCTGCTTTCTTCTAACTTACACTTCCTGATAAATGGTCCTGGTGAGCCATTCTCATGTATAAAAGACTGTTGATTAACTTACATACTTCCTGGGAAGTAAATTTCTGACTTGCCATTTACCTGTCCTTCTGTTTCTTGGATAAGGACCTTGGATAAGTTGCTAAACCTTTCTGAACCTTGGTTTCCACATCTGGAAAAAGCAAAGCTATGATTATATCATACAAGATTACAGTGAGGAGCAAATTAGATAATACATGTGAAAGTATTTTGCAAATTGAAGCCCTGGACACATGGCTTTTTGTGACAGTAGACTAAAGTGTTCCAGAAACATGGGCTTTGGAGTCACACAGTTCTGGGTTCATATTATGGCTTGGCCACTTGTTAGCTCTGTGACCCTGGATGGTTTACTTAACCTCTCTGAGTCTCATTCATTCATGATTCATTTTCATAAACTTTTACAATGTGCCAGGTACTCTAAGGGCTAGGAATAGAGCTGTAATTAAGATAAACAAAATCCTAGCTCTCAGGGAGCTTGTATCCCAGGGGAGGGAGACAGACAATAAACAAATAAATACATGAAAAAGATAATTTTGAAAAATGGCAAGTTCTGTGAAGAAAATTTAACATGGTGATATGGAAGAAAGAAGGGCTACCTGGAATTTGGAAGTCAGGGAAGGCTTCTCTGAGGAAGTGGCATTCAAGCTGAAACCTCAATAGTCAAAAGAGAACATTGCAAGTGGAAAACAAAAAGCAAACCAAAAGGCCTTAAAGAAGAAATCACTTAGTCTGTTCTAGGGGTAGAAAGGATGTCTGTGTGGCTGGGGCATAATGAGAAAAGTGAAGAGCGGGAAAATGCAGGTCCAAAAGAAGAATTTGGACTAGATCCCAAGGGCAGTGGGAAATTCAGGAGTGGGGGAAGATGCCATAATCTGATTTGTATTTTCTAATGTCCCTTAGAAGAATAGTTCACGAGACAAGAGTAGAAGCCAGAAGACTACAGAATTCAAGACGAATGTGATGGTGTCTCAGCTCAGAAGTCATGCTGGAGAGATGTGAATAAAATGGGAGGTTTTAGAGGTAGACTTGGTGACATTTTCTTTTTTTTTTTGAGTTGGAGTCTCACTCTGTCGCCCAGACTGGAGTGCAGTGGCCGCTTCCGGCCACCGCAGCCTCGATCTGCTGGGCTCCGGCGATCCTTCCACCTCAGCCTTCCAAGTAGCTGGAATTACAGGCATGTGCTACCACGCCCGACTGATTTTTTGATTTATTATAGAGATGAGGTCTCGCTGCCAGGCTGAGCCACCGAGCCCGGCTGACATTTTCTATCGGATTGGGTGGAGACATAGTGGGAGTGAGGAGGGGAAGGGAGAAATCAAGGATAACCTAGGTTTTTGTCTTAAGCAATTGGGTGGCTAGAGATAGGGAAGACTGGTAAGAGAGGAAGAGCTTCGGGGGGGGCATGAGAGGTTTGAAATGCCTATTAGACACACAAGCAGAGATGTCAGGCAGTTGGATATACAAGTTTAGAACTCCAAGGAGAGATAAACTTGAGATTCATTGGTTTGTACATGGTTCTTAAAGCCTGAGTGGGGGGCACAACATCAATAAGGGTACCTGATCTCAAACCAGGTGAAGTGGGGACCATAGGGAAGCCCAAACTTTAGCTGTACAATGACCACTTGTATACCTAATCCTGAATTGTACCCCACATCTTTAAAATAAAATAAAAATTTTTTAAAGTTGAAGTCCTAATTAACCCTCCCCCAAAGAAATAAAGAAAGCTCAAATACAGAAATATAGAGATCCAGGTCTGAGCCTTGAGAAACTCCAGGCTTTAAAAGTTAGCAAAGCCTGGCACTGTGGCTCATGCCTGTAATCCCAACACTTTGGGAGGCTGAGGCGAGAGGATTGCCTGAACCCAGGAGTTTGGGATCAACCTGGGCAACTTGGTGAGCCCTCATCTCTACAATAAATCAAAAAATTAGTTCCAGCTACTTGGAAGGCTGAGGCAAAAGGATCCTGAGCCCAGCAGGTCAAGACTGCAGTGGTGTGAATGTGCCACTATTCTCCAGTCTGGGTGACAGAGTGAGACTACAACTCAAAATAAATAAATTAATTAATTAAAATTTAGCATGGAAGAAAGAGATGGGAAAAGTGATGAGGACTAGCCCATGAAGTAGGTGAGAGGAGATGGAATCCAGAAGAGAATTCTGGCTTTTTACCAGAACTGGATGCTTCAACCCTAATTAGAGAGAAGGCAGTGTATGTGTGTATAGTTGCAGGGAAGTGGGTACATTTAGTGATGGAAATATACAAGTTCCCTTCTCATTGCTTTTGTTTTCTCATGAGAAGGAGGCAAAGTCAATAGCTGAGAATAATAAAAGTAAAGAGCTGGCATGTATACAAAGTTTAAATGGAGAAGTGTAAATAGTCATTTTGGAAAGGCGAAAGGACAACATAACAAGGAACTTGTAAAAAGATTGTCAGACAATGTGAAACCCACTTTAGATTTGTGGCCATAAATATAAAGTGAGTTCAGCAGCCTGGTTGTGTGTGTTCTTACAGCCTCATCCCTCTATCTTGTCTGCACCTGAGCAAACAGGTTTAACTAGATAACCGGATAGATTTAATTAGGGTTAAGTCTTTGCCAGATGACAACCCCAGAAGAAGAGATGCATTTCAAAGGAATTACATTAATGATGGATCATCAAATCCAAGCAGAGTAAAGGAAGAGATGTGAAGACATGAGCAGTGATAGAAAAAGAAAAAAAGCTGAGATCAATGAATTGGTGGTCTCAGGGTGGCCACAAATTGTTGACATGAAAATATTAGAACACCGGAGTAGGGAATGTATAAGAGGATAACTGGATTGCTTGGACTTGAGATTTCAGAGGAGATATAATTAATGCTGATGTCAAGGTGAGGGTATACATAGGATTGATTGGTTAAGGTACAGGGAAGAAATTGCCAGAGAGTAGACTAAGGAAGTAAGAGTCCAAGATGTCAGTAGGGTTATCCACCTGGATATTCAGGTCACCAAAAACGGTACAGAAGTAGAGATGAAAAGAACATGAGTCAGATATTGATAACTTTAATGAATGGGGGGAACTAAGGAGTCACTAGAGGATTGCAATGAAGAGGTATGGGGTGGTATAATCTAACAACATATTCTTCAAAGGAATTGGGGGTCTTGAAAGAGAACAGAGAAGAAATAATTCAAAAGAGAGCAAGGTCTGGCGGAACATAGACTTCCATCAAGAAGCTGCAGAAAAACAGTACTCACAGGCGCTATCCAAGTCTCGTGAGAGCAAGATGATGAAGAAAGTGTTTGGAGTAGAGAATGAGGGCATTAGGGACATTTGTCAATGGCAGGGAAATCCACAAGGCCTAGGATTTAAAAGGGGATGGAGACATGGGTCAGATTAAGATATCTCTGGAATATGAGGCTAATCATAATTTCTGTAGCATGGGTTGGTTGTGAGGTTTAAATAAAATAGTGCAAGTCGAGCATGATGCATAATACCTGGCGTAGAGTAGGAAGCATGTGTGCACTGGCCTTAACTATTATCATCATATCTGATGAGTGACAGGGGCAAGACTTGAACCCAAGCCTTCTCACTCCAACTCGCTGGTATTTCCACTACCCTGCACTTCCAGTGTGGCAGCTCAGACGACTCTGGACTGCAAGGTGAGGTTTTCTGGGGTCTTTCCAGCTTTTTCTATTCCTCTCTGTACCTAGAGAAAGTAATGCAGCCTAATTTAAAAAAAAAAAAATCATGACGATTACAAATAAGCTAAAAGTCAATAATTCACCAGTTACTGGCTGACAGTTTGTTTGCTTTTAATATTCTCTTCTATGGCGTGGAAGTAAAGCACACCTCCGTGTATTTATCTAGTCTATCATGTACAGGTGGCAATCTGCTTCAAACTGTACCTATTTGTTTATATTCAATTGCTTTTAAAAAAAACTTAGGGGTTATAACTACGCAACTGTTTCTCTAATACGTGTAAGTAAGCACCTCTAGGAAACCCACTGACTTCCTAGATATATCTACTTGATGCCATCGTAAGCGATATAAAATTTCCTGAATAAGATTTTTCTCAATCCATGTGGCTTGTTCTTTAGGATCTGCCTATTGCTTACATTTTAGCAGCATTTTGTGTGAAATAGGTGCTTTAGATTATGTGTCTATAGATACAAATATATTTTTTACAGCATATCTTTAAGGAGTGAAGGATTATACATTTTGTGGCTATCAAAATGATTTAAACAAAATATTCATAAAATAGCAATAATATTTTTATTTACTATGTCCTGTATCCCATGCACTCTTCCAATTCATTTAGAATGCATAGATCAAAACAGTCCAGAAAAATATCTTCATTTTTACCAATTAAATAAAGTGGAGTTTGTCTTAGTCTGCTTATTTGTTTGTTTGTTTGTTTGTTTGTTTTTGCTGCTATAACAGAATATTGTAAACTGAGTAATTTATTGGGGCGGGAGGAGAAATTTGTCTTACAATTCTAGACCTGGAGCCAGACTCGGTGGCTCAGCCTGTAATCCCACACCTTTGGGAGGCTGAGGTGAGTGGATTGCCTGAGCCTGCGGGTTCGAGACCCGCCTGGGCAGCAAGACCTCATCTCTACAATAAATCAAAAAATCAGCCGAGTGTGGTAGCGCGCGCCTGTAATTCCGGCTACTCGGAAGGCTGAGGTGGAAGGATCGCCGGAGCCCAGCAGGTCGAGCGGCCACTGCACTCCAGTCTGGGTGACAGAGTGAGACTCCAACTCAAAAAAACCACAAACAAACAAACAAACAAAAAAACAATTCTAGAGCTGGGAAGTCCAAGGGTATGAAATCAGCCTCTGCTTGGCCATCTGGTGAGGAACTTGTTTTGTCACAACATGGCTAAAGGGCATCACACAGAGAGACAGCACACAAGAAAGAGAGGAAAGAAGTGCCAAACTCCCCCCTTTTATAACTAACCCACTCTTGTGATAACAGTCTTAAGTTATTCATGAGAATGGTGCCTCCATGACTTCATCACCTTTCAAAGGTCCAGCCTCTCAACATGTTGTGTTGAGAATTAATTTTCCAACACATAAATTTGGGTGGACACATTCAAACCACAGCATCCCACCCCTGGCCCCCCAAATTCATGTAATTCTCACTCCATCCAAACAGTTTTAAAAGCTTTAAGTGGTTCCAGCATAAACTCCAAGTCCAAAGTCCGGAATCTCATCTAAATCAGATATGGGTGAGTCATCCTGAGACAAATTCCCTCCAGCTGTGAACCTGTGACATCAAAACAAATTACAGTTGGCCCTTTGTGTCTGCAGGTTCCACATCTTCAGATTCAACTGACCACAGATTAAAATTATTTGGAAAAAAAAAATAACAAAGCAACAATAAAAAATACAAATTAAAAATAATACAATATAACAACTATTTGCATAGCATTTACATTGTATTATATTATTTACATGATAGAAGTCATTTAGTGATTATTTACAGTATATGGGAAGATGGTATAGGTTATGTGCAAATACGATGCTATTTTATATAAGGGACTAGAGCATCCGTGGAGTTTTGTATCCAAAGGGGGTCCTGGAACCAATTCCCTATGGATACCAAGGAGATTGCATTGTATCTACTACCAAAATATACTGGTGGGACATGAATAGAGTACACATTCTCATTCCAAAAGGGAGCTAGAGGAAAGAAGAAAGGGGTAACAGCTCCCAAGGAAGTCTAATACCCAACTTTGAAAATAGCATCAAGTCTCAAAGTTGGAGAAAAATCTCCTTTGACTGCACATCCCACCTTCTGAACACACTGGGGTGGAAGGGTGCTCCCAAGGACTTAGGCTACCCTGCTGCCATGGTTTTGCTGGGCTCAGTCCATCCTGCAGCTCTCACAGGTTGGAATCTTGTGCCCAGTTCTCCCAGGATGCCACTGCATGCTGGTGACCCTATTGTTGGACAGTCTCGGAACTTCAGGTGGTCTTGGGGGTGGCCCCCAGGTTGTCTGTGACAGCATTTGAAATCTAGGTGGAGGAAGCCATGTTCCCACAGTTCTCCCATTCTGTACACCTGCAGAATTAGTACCCCAAGGACAACACCAAGGCTTGCTGTGTGTGCCCTCCAGAGTGGCTACCCAAGCCACACCTGGCTCCACTTGAGCCACAGCTAAGGCAGCTGAGGGGCACAGCACTGGCATGCAGGGAGCAAAGTCCTAAGGCTACTTTGGGCAGTGAGCCTGTGGAGGGTGGCCAAGGCTCATTCCCAAAACCATTCTGCCTTCCTAGGGCTCTAGGCCCATGAAGGGATGAGAAGGGCAGCCTCAGATATCTCTGAGAAGCTTTTTGAGGTCTTTTCACCAGTCTTGATAAATGGTACCCGGCCCCTTTCTATCCATACTAATCTCTTTAGGTCACTTAGCCACACCCTTGATGTACTCTCCCAAAGACACCATTTCCTTCTTTACATGGCCAGGCTACAGATTTACTAAATCTTTTTGTTCCATTTCTCTTAATTATACAATTCATCTTTAAGGCCTCTCTTTGCTCTCATGTGGCACTATATGCAGTTAAAAGTGGCCACACAGCAGCCTGCATGCTTCACTGCTTAGATATTTCTTCTGCCAGACATCCTAGTTCACTGCTCTTAAGCTCTGCATTTCATAAAGTACCAGGACATTGACACAAGTCTGCCAAGTTTGTTGCAACTGTATAACAAGAATGGCCTTTGCCCCAGTTCCAAATACCTAGTTCCTCATTCCATCTGAGACCTCATTAGAACGGCCTTTACTGTCCATATTTCTACCAACACTCTGGCCACAACCTTCTTAAGTAATCTTTTTTTTTTTTTGAGTTGGAGTCTCACTCTGTCGCCCAGACTGGAGTGCAGTGGTCCGGCCACCACAGCCTCGACCTGCTGGGCTCCGGCGATCCTTCCGCCTCAGCCTTCCAAGTAGCTGGAACTACAGGTGCGCACTACCACACCCGGCTAATTTTTTTATTTTATTGTAGAGATGAGGTCTCGCCAAGTTGCCCAGGTGCGTCTCGAACCCGCGGGCTCAGGCAATCCACTCACCTCAGCCTTCCAAAGAGCGGGATTATAGGCTGAGCCACTGAGCACGGCTTTAAGTAATCTTTAAGAAGAGTCAGACTTTCCCTACAACTCTCCTCTTCACCTGAGCCCTTACCAGGGTCACCTTTAATGCCTCATTCACAGCAAAACAGGCTTTTTCTAACCGCTCCTCCAAATTCTTTCAGCCTCTACCCATTATCCAGTTCCAAAGCTGCATCCACATTTTCAGGTATTTATTATAGCAACAACTCTGCTTCTCAGAACTAATTTTCTGCTGGTGTAACAGAATACCACAGACTGGATAATTTATAAAAAGAGATTTGTTTAACTCATAATTCTGGAGACTGGGAAGTCCAAGGGCAAGGTACCAGCATCTGCTCGGCCATCTGGTGGGGGCCTTCTTTCTAAGTCATAACATGACCAAAGGGCATCACAAGGAGACAGAGCAGGCAAAAGAAGGACAGTGAGAGAGAGACAGAGAGAGAGAGAGAGAGAGAGAGAGAGGGAGAGAGAGAGAGGGAGAGAGAGAGAGAAAGAGAGAGAGAGAGAGAGAGAGAGAGAAAGAGAAGGGGTCAAACTCCATCCCCTTTATAACTAACCCACCTTCATGATAATGACCTTAATCTATTCATGAGGGTTGTACCGCCACGATCTCATCACCTCTTAAAGGTCCCACCTCTCAACACTGTCATACTGGGGACTGGGTTTCCAACACATTAATTTTAGGGGACACATTCAGACCAAACATAGCAAAGTTCAAAGAGGTTAAATAACTTATCCAAGGTCACAATCAGCAAGTGGCCAGACCAGGATTCAAATGTAGGTGGACCTGTTTTCAAAACCTGGGCAATTTCTTCCCTTTGGTGATTCTCCCTAGCACAAAATGAGCCACATACCAAGGGCTCTGTCACAGACTACACGTCATCCTCAAAAGTGTTGACTCCTGTGCTCTCCCTAACAACCACTCTTCATGTAGACCCATGGTTTTCAAAGTATGGCTATTGACTGGTAACATCAGCATCACCTGGAAACTTACTATGAATGAAACTTGTTTTTACTGTCACCCAGCAATCAGGGTTTTAACAAGCTCTCCAGGTGATTCTAATGTAATGGCTTGAGGGCCTTTGATGCCAAACTTTACAGACCAGACAGTATTGAGGAAAGCTGTAAAAGATAGTGATAACTGGTAACTGAGTAACCAATAACCGAGTAACTGGTAACCGAATAACAGGCTGGTAACTGGGCTGCTGGGGAAAGCTACTCTGTGCTGCAGGTGCTCACAAGCACCGAGAGCCTGAGTGGCCAGATTCTTGGGGCAGGGGATGCGTTATGTGCACTGAACACCGACTAATGCAATTAATTGTCATGGTCAGAAGCAGTCACAGCCCACAAAAATTCAATTTGGGGCCAGGAGTGCAGCTGGTAGCCTTGCTTAGAATTGTCCCCTAAAAAATTAGATTTGTTGCTTTTTACTGCATGATGAGCTATATCAGGCTCTTATCAGCTTCCCCTCTGGCCCCATGAGCCTCTTCTCCCTGCAGGGACAGAGCAATTTGCACGTAGCCTTCTCTGTCCCCTTTCCTCAGACTTCCTGGGAAGGGCTGGAGCCTCCTCTCCAAGCTCTCCTCTAAGTTACCACGTGGAGAAGAGGAGGCTGGGCTCACTACCCCGGGTCTGTAACTTTCCACTGAGCCCAGTGCCTTCCCTAAGGTACTACATAAGCACCTTTTTAGAAGTGAAGAGATAGCAAAAGGGCAATCTTGGGGACAGGAGTTGAAGAGGAGAGTATGGATGGTAATGTTAGTGCATATACTATTGTACATGATACAAAGCATGTCCACACCTCATGTCATTTATTCCTCAAATTTCCCTTTGAACTAAATAGTATTCTGATGCTCATTTTAGAGATGAGAAAAGTGACATTCAGAAATTTTAAGTGGCTTGCACGAGTTTACATAGGCAATCAATGGAGCTAAAACAAAAACCTAGGTCTTGGACTGGAACTCATTCTACTACATAGCTAAGTATGTCATTTCTTGATATCCCTCATCACCTACTCCCACCTCCCCTTTCTCACACTGCTTCTCTGAGGGACTGCCCACCCATGCGGGCTTGATTCATGGGTATAGACAAGGGAGGTCATTTTACAAGGGAAGCACACTGTCTCTGTGTGACATTGATGACCCGAGAGAAAGGGCCCACAGTACCCACCTCCTGCCCAGCCCGGAGGTTACTCACCTAGTTGCCACTCAGGGGAGCACATGGTCTGCATCATCCAGATGGGCAGTGTAGGTTCCAGGATGGCCACCCCCATGTTGGCAAAGCAAATGGACCCTGGGGAGACAGTTCTGTGAGCCACAGTGGCTGCCTGAGGCCCAGACTCTCCCAGCCCAATGGAAGACCATTGCCAGCTTACCGGCAGCCACCAGGATGTAAGGGTCTTTGAGAAGAGTAAAGAGCGGAGTTCCCTTGGTACTCTGCAAACATGAATGACAAAAACTACCATTTGTTCAGTGTATACATCTCTCCTATTTTCACAGGATCTGAGAATGTGTGGGCAGGGCCTTTGAAACCATCTACGTCTCCTCCTTTACACAAGACCAGGAAGCCCGAGTCCAGGGGAGAAAGTGACTTACTCGATGCCGCAGAGTGAGCTGGAGGCAGAGCCATCCCTGTGCGCAAGGCAGGCACTGTGGTAGTCACAGAGAGGGAGGTAACATATGGTTCCTGCCTTCAAATGACTGTCAACCAGGTCAGAGTAGACAGGTAGCAAGGTCAGGACTGGAGAACAGATGTCTGGACTCCTGGTCTTTTTTTGAGGGGTGGGGAACAGGATTTCACTCCGTCGCTCAGGCTGAAGATCATGGCTCACCACAGCCTCAAACTCTTGGACTTGGGCAATCCTTCTGCCTCAGCCTCCCAAGTAGCTGGGACTACATATGTACACCATGATGCCCAGCTTATCTTTCTATCTTTTGTCGCTTTGTTGCCCAAGCTGTCAAACTCCAGAGATCAAAAGATCCTCCTGTCTTGGCCTTCCAAAGTGCTGTGATTACAGGTGTCAGTCACTGTGGTTGGCCAACCCCTGGTCTCTCCACTAGTTCTCCCTGGCACTGTTTATGGAGGACAGAAATAGGCAGACGACCAAATCCCAAAAGTGAGCACAAAGTCCATAACTTAGAAAGCCTCTCAAGCTTTCTGAACTCTTTGTTCTGTTATGCAACACATCGGTATAGCAGGAGTATTTGAACACCTGGGTTAAAATGCCTTAATGTCCAGTTCCAATATACTCTCCCTCAAGACATACTCTCATCTCAGCTAAACTTGGTCACCCACCCAGGTGCATCCTTCCATGCATCCTGGCAGTCTCTCAACCATCATTATAACCTTAGTCTAAACTACCTATTTTCTATTTTCTCCTCTTCACAGTTCCACATCCATTCTTCAAAGTCAAGTTCAAGTGGCTTCTTTTCCACGGTGTTCCTTGACCAAGAAGATGGAGTCCCTCCCTCTCTCAAAATTCTTGAGCACTGTGTGCTAATCTTCGATGGTGTTTACTACATTCTATGTTGCAGCAGATTTAATAGTTTTGATATGATGGCCATCTCCACATACACACAGGGTAGATTGAGATATTGAGAAATCCTAAAACTAAAAAGGTTGCACACTCACCTCATATATAATTCATAATAAACTGATGTAGATCATAGAAATATATATAAAAAAATCCAATTAACTCTTGGACCCAAGGGTTTTACCATCTTCTAGGAATTTACTCCAATGATTACCACCAACATTGTAAAAATGTGTTACATAAGATTATTAATTGCAGCACTACCTGTACCTGCAAAGTATTGAAAACTACCAAAATGCCTAAACACAGGAGATTGAATAACATATGGTACATATATACAGCGGTGTGGGTATGTATGGACCTACAGCTGGAAAACAATTGAGAAGAACTCTATGAACAAATAGGGCGTGATTTTCAGGATATATCATTCAGTGAGAAAAAAAAATACAAAGAAAAATATATAGTATGTTACTTTCTATGTAAGAAAAAGGGTGAAATAAGCAAACACATAAACTATTTATTTTGGGGGAAAAAAAACACAAGTATACAAATGATAAACCAGAAAACAAAACAATCGGCTACCTATGAGTGGTAAGGGTGGGAAAGGAGGAGTGTAGAAAGACTGTAGAGGGATTGACACTCTCTGGGTATACCTTTTTGAATAATTTTGACTTTTAGATGACAACGTTCTATATATTCAAGAAATAAAATTATATGAGTGTATGGACTGAATTGTGTCTCCTGCAAAATTAACATGTCAAAATCCTAACCTCTAAAGTAATTGTATTTGGAAATAGGGTTTGTAGGGAGGTAACTAAGGCTAAAGAGGCCGTAAAGGGGGCCTAATCCAGTAGAATTGGTGTCCTTACAAGAAGAGGGAGGGAAACCAGAGCGCTCTCTCTCTGAGTGTGTGTGCACACACAATGAGTAAAGGCCATGTGAGGTCACAGTGAGAAGGCTGCAATCTGCAAGCCAAGAAAAGAGGCCTCACAAGAAACGAATCCTGACAGTACCTTGATTATGGATTTCCAGCCTCCAGAATTATGAGAAAAGAAAAATCTGTTGTTTAAGCCACTCAGCGTGTAGCATTTTGTTATGGCAGCTTGAACAAACTAATACAGTTAGCAAAAATGAAGAAAAGAACTAAAACTAAATGCCAAGAAAAACAAATGAACATAATTGAATCCTAAATTTGTTGTGTAGTATACAATTACATAAAGATGGAAGAAAAAACTAATGCAAATACAGTAATTTCTAAACACACTACTTTGGCTATATTCCCTAAGTCTAAGGGAAAAAGAACGTCAAACATTTTACTTCTTGGTAGGTTTGTTTTTTGTAATAGTATGGCTATATAAATTATATGTGTTATAGAATTGATTTTGGTAAGAGCCAGTATTCCTTCCATGAAAGAAGGGGATACAAGTGTGAGACGAGGGGACACAAGGAAAAATCCTGTGGAGTTGTGATGGAATGGAGGTTTCAGTATGAACTCATGTGTGTGCGTATATTAGCTCTGCCACTGAGATGGCTCAGAAACACAGAGCTCCTTGAGCACACTGAGCATGCTGAGTGCCTACATTTTGGTTTCTTTCTTTTTTTTTTTTTGAGTTGCAGTCTCACTCTGTCACCCAGACTGGAGTGCAGTGGCGTGCTCCCGGCCACTGCAGCCTCGACCTGCTGGGCTCCAGCGAAACTTCTGCCTCAGTCTTCCAAGTAGCTGGAACTACAGGCGCTCGCTACCATGTCCGGCTAATTTTTTGATTATTGTAGAGATGAGGTCTCGCCAAGTTTCCCAGGCAGGTCTCGAACCTGCAGGCTCAGGCAATTCACTCACCTCAGCCTCCCAAAGCATGGGATTACAGGCTGAGCCACCGAGCCCGGCTTACATTTTGGTTTCTAATCACCATTCCCCATGAAAAGGAACTTGGGCTCCTTGGAATAATGGTTGATTCCAAGAGTGGCGCAGACAAGGTATAAGATGAGCATGGGACATATTTTTGTATCAGAAAGTTTTGAAAAATGCTTTTAAAAAATGAGGTCATGTTAAAAGAGCCAGTTTGAAAGGTCTCCCACTTGCCGAAACTAGTACAATTTGAGCATCAAAATACATAAGAACAGTGATGAGCTAGAAGCCACGAAATAAAAAAGGAATTCATGAGTCCAAACTAATAATAAACAGATAAATAAATTATTATTTTTAAAATTTTTGAACATAATCACCTGTACATAAAATTATACATACCTATTTATATATAAATATTTATATACACATATATATATTATGTGTATAAAGAGAGAAAGGAATGGCTATTTCTTATAGCAAAATGCCAACTAATGATGTGGAGGTATTGAAGAAATAGAAAAACCAGCAATTTACAAACATTGTAGTACAGATTGGTTCAGTCAAGAATCATCATTGCTGGGTGAAGTGGCTCATGCCTGTAATCCCAGCACTTTGGGAGTCGAGGCAGGAGGATTTATTTAGCCTAGGAGTTCAAGACCAGCCTGGGAAACATAGCAAGACCTTGTCACTACAAAAAAAATTTAAAATTAGCCAGGCGTGGTGGCATGTGCCTGTAGTCCCAGCTGCTCAGGAGGCTGAGCTAGAGCCCAGGAGGTCAAGGTTGCTGTGAGCCATGATGGTGTCACTGTACTTCATCCTGGGTAACAGAGGGAGACCTCAACTCAAAAAAAAAAAAATCATCAGTGGATAATCATCAGTGGGAAGTTTGAGGAGAAGCAGGAGATGTACAGAATTTTACAGTGTCTTTCACAGATTATTTATGAGTTACAAGGTGAAAAATAATACATGATGGAGAAGTCAGGTAACACCTTGACCCAGTGATCAAAATTAATCCACTGAGAGGTGGATAGGCATTGTATGCCTACAGACGTGACTCTGAGAAGTATCACTTAATAATATTTTAATGGGTAGTACAAAACCTGTAGCTGATTATGAGGAAATATCAGACAAATCAAATTAAGAAATATTCTATAAAATAAATGTAGTCTTCAAATTTCCATGTCACGAAAGATAAAAAAAGGCTGAAGAACTTTTCCAGATTAAAGAGACTGGACACACAAACATATTATACAATCCTGAATGAGTTCTTCACTGGAGACATAAGAAAAAAAATTCTATGAAGGACATTACTGGGACAATTGACATAGAGTACTTACTGTAGATTAGATTAAAGTATTCCATCAATGTTAAGTTTCCTGATTTTGATAACAGTATTGTCATTACAAATAGATATATTTCTGTTCTTACACAGTATCAAGGGTTAAAAGAATGATATGATCAATCTACTCTCAACTGGTTAAAAAAAAGTAATAATAATAATAATGTGTGTGTGTGAGAGAGAATGGTTAAACACATATGGAAAAATATTTTTTAAAAATTGAGAATCAGTATATGGGAGTTCTCTGGATTGTGCTTACAAACTTTTTGTAAATTTGAAGTTATTTCAACATGAATGTTTTCAAAACCTAAGGAGGCTCTGATTTTTTTTTTTTTTTTTTTACCCCACAGTCAAATTTTTAAAAAAAAATATGTGTTGGGGCCCTGCTTTTATAGAATCTCAGGCTGGGCCTTCTTGTTAAGTAACTCACCCTGGTTGACACAGTGGATACTCAATAAACAGTGGGTAAACCACCTGGATGAATGCTCCTAGGCCAGACAGCTGCAGAAGAAGTGCTGGACCAAGCTTGTTCCAAGCCTGGGAGCTTGTGCAGAGAGTATTTGGTGCTCCTTGCTCTGGGGAGTCCTGGATGGGTGGCAAAGACTTCCCTCCCCAGTACATCCTATGCCTAAAACCAGTTCCCAAGGAGCAATATAATCTCAGCAGATTCTAGGAGGCTTCCAGTCGCTCTGGGGGAACTTGTACCCTAAAAGTGTTAATTATGTCATAGTTTCCAATTATTTCAGATTCTCCTCTGTTTACCCTCAATCTCATTATCTGTTGAATGAGGCTAAAAACCTGTTTTTTTCATGAAATTTATAGGATGCAGTATAGACAGTATGCTAAGCAGAGCTTCTGGAACATAATACCAAACAGCCCTGAAGAACTGTCAGGTATTAGTGTAATTACTTCTGAAATACCTTGGTGGACTGCAGGGTGCAAAGTCAAGGTCTTCAGATCAACCTTTCTTATATTCTACTCACTTTCTTATTTTTCCTTCTTCATGGTTTGATATGGATTTTCCAGAGTCATTTTTTATCTTAGAGTCAGACAAAACCAATTCTGCTATTTATTCAATGTGACAGAATGACAGTCTGTTAGGAATGGTCTTGGTGGACGTCTTTTATTGGGGGGAGAGGTTGTCTGGGTGGCCTCCATGGCCTTCTCTATCTCTGAGATGATGGTACAACTTTGAAGGCCTCTGTAGCCTTCTCTATCTCCGAGATGATGGTACAAGTCTGAAAGTCATTATCTCCTAGTTCTAAGAGAGAGAGAGAGAGAGAGAGAGAGAGAGAGAGGGGAGAGAGAGAGAGAGAGAGAGTGTGTTCTGTACAGCTTTTTTGATTCTTCATAAGGCCCTTCCTCCATCTTTGTCCATCATCAGGACAAATACCCTCAACCTTCCCCATACTCCCCTAAATGTAATTCTATCTGGGAATCCAAGCACAGTCCTCACTCTTCCTGACTCTATTCCCCTTCACCTTCTTTCTAACGGCTTGACAGGCCTGCCTAGATCCCTGCACTTAGCCATCCTTACATATCTCTTAGCAATAGGACTTGGGGTCTACTTACCTCGGGAGAGACTTTGGAAGGCTGGAGGATGCAAAGCTGGAGTGCTAAGAACAAAGAAGAGAGACAGTACAGTTTGTCCACTGATTAGTTGGGGGCTCCAAAACCAACCACACTGCTACCCTCCTATCTCATACAAGACTTTCTCCCTGAGTTTCTTCCTTCTTTCCTAGCTTGGGGTAGCCCTTGATCCATCAAAACATGTCTACACCACCCATTATTAGCCAAGACTGACACCATAGCATAATGTAGTCCCAACCTTTTCTGGGCTATCACCTGCCTGGGGGATCTAATAGTGACTTACCACCATCCATCAGTGCCAGGAAGGCCAGGATGAGGAAGGGAGCAGACTTCCCAACGAACTCATACATCACACTTCCAAAGGGAGCTCCCACTGAAAATCAAAGCAGATTGCAGAAATGAGGACTAATCTCATCCAGTGGGACTTTTTCATATCTACCCAGTGAGCATTTACAAAAGGCCTTCTAGGGACTAAGATTCAGAGATAGAGAAAGCAGAATCCTTGTCCCCCAGTGAGCTCACTTTCTAGTGGAGAAAATATGTGTGTGTGTGTGGGGGGGGGGTGATCCAAATAATTTGATCATAGAGAAAAGTTTGACATCAAAAGGTTACATGCATAAATGATTATGTAAGTCCAGTGGAGTGGATCAGGAAGTCCAGGTAGCCACAAGCACTTTGCCAAGTGCATAGTACCTGGTAGAGAAGAGGCTCGTGTGAAGAACACGGAGGTGTCAGAAAAGAGAGTGTATTGGGGAAGAAAGAGAAGAAAGTAGGTGTTATTAGAGTATGAATGTTTGGGAGGAGAGTAGAGGTGGGTAAGGCTGAAGGCATTAAACCAAGGCCATTAAACCAAGAGAAGAAAGTGGGTGTTATTAGAGTATGAATGTTTGGGAGGAGAGTAGAGGTGGGTAAGGTTGAAGCCATTAAACCAAGGCCCCCATATATTCCAGATGAGGCATCTTCTTGGCCTTGTGGCCAAGGAGAAACATCAGAGAACCACCAGCTCTGCACTCAGGATTCTTCAGGTGGAACCATGGAAGAAGGAGGGAATGTGAAAGAGCTCAGACAAGAGGCTGGAGTCATATTCCAATGAAGAAGCGAAGAGGAGCCAGGAGTAGCTGTTGAGGATATAACAGGCTTATTCATTTGGGAGAGAGCGGTAATGAAGGAGGCTGAGATGCACCAAAGTTTTCGCCTGGCTATTTGGGGTGACAGATCCCAACAGATAACAAGGTTTTGCTTCCCGTAGCTCCCCACAGTGGTAGAGGGTGGGGCCTAGGCCAGCAAAAAGACTTTTGATGTTTTCTCTTCAATGAGTTTGTAAGCTCTGAGAGGGCAGTAACTGTGTCTGGACTTCTCACCTATATCCCCTCTGTGCTAGCTAGTAAGTGCTCAGTGAAATGATGTGGTTTGTCAGTTAAGTCACATGAGCGATGAGCCTCAAAGAACAAGTAATTCTATGGTTTGGAGCTTGGAATTCTCAGTCCAGGAAATCCGAGTCTGTATCCTGTCTCTGGCATTTCCTAGCTATGTAACTCTGGGTGGCTATTTGGCCTTTCTTGTCCTCATCTCTGTAATGGGGCAATCATTCCTTATAGGATGGTGGTGAGGAATACAAGAGTTATGTCTGTGATGAATTTAGCAGAGAACCTGGCAAAGAGAAAACTCTGGTCGTGCGTGGAAGCAGAGGTGAGGCAGGCGGTGGCTGCTGACATGGGGAAGTTTATTCCCTCTAACAGGTTGGGTTTCTGCACCTTTCCCAGACCCTTGTGCATTATTTAGCTTCTTAAGGGTAAATAAATTTCACCTTTCCTCAGTAATATTCCTGAAGGAATCAAAATATGAGTGGGCCAGGAAGGGAGAGAAAAATGTTCGTCTTCCAAGATCTCAGGAACACCTGCTAGTTGGGGCCATCTTCGGAGGGTCTATGGTACCCACTCTCCAGAACCTAGAGTTCCAGTTAAGTGCTACTCACCCAGTACTCCCAAGGCCAAGCCCCCCAAAGCAACTCCCATGGCTCGTCCTCTCTCGTAGTCATCTGTGTAGACACTTGCTAGCATCCCAAGACCTGTACAGAGAGTGACAGACAGAGGTAGCACACAGGAGCTCTATCCACTTCTTTCAGTCCTTGACCCCTGTTCTATTCTATCTTCAGAAGACATCTTAGCTAGAGTTTCAGTATGAGGGGTTTTACGAAACTTAACACATAGAATTTTGCAGATACCACCCCCCAAGGATCTCTCAAACATCTACATTGCTCACTCCTTCTGTTCAGAATATTGTTGGAAGTGCAAAGACCTCTGGAAAGTATAACATTGTCTGACTAGACCACATTTCATAGCGTTTTGTCATTTCCTAGCACATTTCCCTGAATGGAGGGATTATGGAACAGGTCAGGGAAAGGAAAATCTGGGAGTGCAGAGGCTGTTCTTATTCAACAGATGTCTAAGGAAGAGCTTAAGAGCACTGAGGACCTAGGAGAGAGTGTGGGCTAGTGCTGTACAGCAGTTGCCCTCTTGGGCCCAGTTAGTCATGTGTAAAAGACATAAAATACTGGCCTGCAAACCCAGCACTTTGGGAGGCTGAGGCAAGTGAATTGCCTGAGCCCGTGGGTTCGAGACCAGCCCGGGCAACTTGGAGATATCTCATTTCTACAATAAATCAAAAATTAGCTGGGTGTGGTAGCATGTGCCTGTAGTTCTGGCTACTTGGAAGACTGAAGCAGAAGAATCACCGAAGCCCAGCAGGTCGATGCTGGGGTGGCCATGAGTGTACCACTGTACTCCAGCCTGGGCGACAGAGACTCCAACTCAAAAAAAAAAAAAAAAAGACATAAAATACTGACTTCATAGAATTATATTCACTATTGTATTTGGCAATACTTTGCAAACTGTGGTGGTATTACTGGTAGCATAAACATGACTGTTTCTATAAGATTTCAAGAGGGGGACACAGAAAGGACCATTGAGTGGTACTAAATAAAAGCTTAACCTTCATGGTTTTACCATGGGTGTGTTCTGACCTGAGCTAGCTGTGTCTGAATATTTCTAGAGGAAGTCATGTCGAGCTTAGGGATTTGTGAGCCTCACTGGCAACTCTGAAATTACTTGGTTTCTGAATCACAATTTCTACCTACTAGGATGATATCTTCCTTAACTTATTCTTATAAACCTTATAGAGTCTGAGCTAGTAAGAGATGTTTGTGTGTATACTTGTGTGTGTGTGCATGTGTACATGTGTGTGCATGATGGAAGATGTCAGGGTCACCTGCAACAGAAGAAAATGAAGATCCAATGCCTTGAAGGGTCCGAGCCACGAAGAGCAGGTTATAGGTGCCGGAGAAAGCAAACACTGGGCAAAGAGAACAGCAAGAATTCCTCAGTTAGCAAGTTGCCTTTGCTTCCAGTCACAGAAGACATGCCCATGATAGTGCAGATATGAGTCACTATGCCTGTGTTTTAATAAAGCATGAAGATTACTCCCTGTTTCTGGAGTTGGCTTTTTAATCTATCACCTCTCTAGTAGGACTTCTTTTTTAAGTGAAAAGAATACTGAGAAACCACAGAAGCATCAGCCAAGTCACCAAACAGTGGATGGAAGGCTGGGTCTCTACATTTCTTGCTGAAAGCCCAACATCCTGTTCACTGGAATCAGGAATGTCTATGAAGCACAGTGTCCTAGACTGGTAACTGGTTTTTAGACCCTACTCTTGGATTCTCCATGTGCAACACTCAGATCTGGTCTTTGCCATTGCTGGGTCCCTGGGATTACCTGGAATACAGTGACAATAAATTACGTGCTTCAAGGACTGTAGCCATTGAGTAGAAAATAACATCTTGTGATGCAGTTAGATCCTTCCCCTTACCTTATATTGGAAGACCTCTTAACCACATCAAATCAGTATTTATTCAATTGTACTGAACATGCAGCTCTGCTAGACTCTGGCAAATGTGAAATTAAGAGAATATCCAGTTCTTGTCCTTGAAGAGGTTCAGTCTATTGGAGACCAACACATATGAAAGTGAGAACCAACAGGAATATGTTATCAAAAACTAAATTACAGGGCACTGGTGGTCAAGGAAGTAAGTCTAGACATGTCTCACCTCCAATTCCAGAGCAATGTCTCCTAAAATAAGAAGAATTCTACCCCCCTTAAAACTGTCTGAACCAGAATAACTGTAATCCCGTTGCCCACTCATTACAGATGTCTTTGGTTGTGCTCATAATCTTTTCCCACTAATCCTTCACATGATCACACTGAGCTACTCCTTGTCTCCCAAACATGCATATTCTTTGTCTCTCCTTTCCTAGCCTCTATTGTCTTTTTCTCAGGCTTTCTGATTTCCAATCTCTTTAATCTACTATCCCTAAACTGAAGAGTGACCAACTTGTCTTGGCTTGCCCAAAACTTTCTTGGTTTTAAAATTGAAAGTGAAAACAAAACAAAACAAAATAAAAACAAACCCCACACAGACACACACACAATCTGAAAGCCTTACAATCTGGGAAGCCCCCTCCTATGGTTTGAATATGGGTTGCTCGTCCCCACCAAATATCAGGTTGAAATGTGATCCCTAACGTTGGAGGTGGGGTCTAATGAGAGGTGTTCCTGTCATGGAGACAAATCCTTCATGAACTAATACCCTTCCTGGGGTGTGAGTTCTTCCTCTACAGTTCCCTCAAGAGCTGGTTGTTAAAAAGAGCCTGGCATCTCCCCTCTCTCTTTTTCTTTTCCACGTGATCTCTGCACAGCTGACTTCCCTTCACCTTTCAGGATGAGAGGAAGTAGCCTGAGGCCCTCACCAGAAACTGATGCGGCGCCATGCTTCTTTTACAGTCTGCAGAACCATATGCCAAATAAACCTCTTCTTTATAAATTACTCAGCCTCAGGTATTTTTTCATAGCAACACTAAATGCACTAAGACGCCCCTCAATCCCAGACAAACCAGGATAGTTGGCCATCCTATGTAAGAAAACCAAGGCAACTTTCTTTTCACTTTGTACCCCTTATATGGGCTACCATTTCACTCCTAGTTACATTAAGTATGGTTCCTAGTTTGGGGCTGCTGGGGGATGGCTAGTTTAAGGGTAGTAAAAGGCATCAGCAACCTCTTTTAACTATTTTTTAAAACACTGGGTTGGGAATAGTGGCTCACACCTGTAATCCCAGCACTTTGGGAGGCTAAAGCAGGAAGATTGCTTGAGCCCAGGAGTTTGAGACCAAACGAGATAACATAGCAAGACTTCGACTCTACAAAAAAAAATATCAAAAACGTAATCAGGCATGGTGGTGAGCGCCTATAATCCCAGCTACTCGGAGGGCTGAGGTGGAAGGATCACCTGAGTCCACGAGGTTAAAGCTATGATCATGCCACTGCCCTTCAACGTAGGTGACAGGATGAGACCTGACTTGAAAATACATTTAAAAAATAACTAAATAAAAATAAAATACTGAACGTTGTTACAAGGATACTGTAAACACATAATATGTGTTTTTTGTTTTCTTTTAAAGCTAAAATCAGCATGATAACACTGGTTATTTCATGGAAACTAACTATTTAACACATATAGTTTGGTAGATAAGAAAAGCATTTAAAATATGAGTTCTTGGCAGAGAATTAGGCAAAGACCTTATGCTAAAGATTTGGGGATCCAGCACTACACTGCAGTGTCTTATTTTGCAGGGCATTTGCCAAGTTTCTCCAGGCAATCATCCTGCATTCCTGATACCTAGAACCGTGTCTTTCTATTCTTTATGTGACAATGGCCATCCAGGCATAATAATGTGCTTCACAAAGTTTTATTTCCAAAAAACTTTCCATTTTAAGTCTTATATGATGAAATAGGGCACGCTATTGTTTTTTTTAATTTGTTATCTTGTGTAGGCTGGGTTTCTAGAAGTTCCGTGAACACTGCTGACTTGAATTTCCTCATTTTCTGTGAGTCAGCTGGAACTTTACATGTAAGATGTGGTTCTCAGACAAAAGTTGACATCTCAAGTTCTTGCACTATACAACCTTCCAGCTTGGAATGCAACAAGTTCTTGTTAAACATTGGGTTGAAAGGAGTTAAGTCCTATATTGGGAAGGAAGGAAAGTTGAGGAAGAGGAACAGAGAAAGCAGATAAGTAACAGAAAGGTAATAAGATAAACATGAGGGAGAAGAAGGTGTGTTAGAATCAGCAGAGTCATAGAGTCATCAGGAACCAAAAGTGCATTCACCTTCTCTGCATAACCCCCCAAGGACTAACCCCCATTCATTTCTTCTTCCTTTACTTCTCAGGGTCCATTTCCAGACGTATTTTTCTCACTACTTTTATTCCATCTCCATTTTATTAGAAAGATTTAACTGATACTGAATAGACTATTTGTCTTTCTCTTTCTTGCTTCTTTAGCAAATGTACTTTCCTAAGCTATAACCTTTAACGTCCTTAACTGGAAAGCAGTAGGCTTTTTTTGAATTTCCAGATGCTATTGTTTAATTTCCATTTTTTTTTTGTTAGCTGCCCTTTGCCATGGCATATCAAAATAATATGATCTTTTCCCAAAGATGGGAAGTATGTATTAAGCCCGCTCAAGGGATTACTGATAGACACACACACACACACACACACACACACACACACACACACACACACACACACAGCATACACATTCAAACAGCCTTCATGACTTCCCAGCTGAAATATCTGTTCTTCTATAGCAAAATAGACAAATTCCAACTAGACTTTATTGCCACTACTGTTCTAGTCTCCATATCCCAAACTGTAAAGCATTAAACCAATGTCCCAGTTGGCTTAATCAGATGCCTAATTACTCTCAGGGCTGTGCTGATATCTATACTGCATTCACATGATAAAATCAAAAGTAATCAGCAAGGGAAGAAAAGAGGAAGCAAATTACTTACTAACTGTGGAGAGAAACATGATAACAAAGCCAGCAAACATGGGAATGTGATATCCAATCCTAATAGAGAATTGAAAAAAAAGATACAACTCCAATAGGCATTCATATACTTGGACTACATTTTCTAATGTAAATGGGAGCAGAGATGCAGATTTTTGAGCACATGGTGAAACATGACTCTGGATTCAGGTTTGGAGATGGAATATGACATGTGAATAAGTACAATAACATAAACAGACTTGCAAATGTAGCTGTAGACAGTGGTCAAAATTGTCATTTCCAAAAAAGATAGTCTAGGTAGACTGTATATCCCGTTAAAATGTCAGGATAATCCTAAACACAATGACGGGGAAACCAGCAGTCTAGATTAGACGACTAGATAAAATGGTCCTATTCCCACCCTCGTCCCATTCAACATCAACAGTGCACTGCTGTTCACTGGTTCTCTTCTTGGTACTCAATATTCAGAATATCACTAAGAAAATCTGAAGCCCATGACACTTCATCAGTAATGTGTCATCCTTTAGGGTTACCAGCTTTTCAAATAGCTGGCTCCCCTGGCACCAAACAAGTGAGCACTCCTTTTTCCCTTCTAATCACTTTTGTCCTCCTATTCCAGTGCTCTTGAATACCCTGCTAAGCACTGCAGCCACTAAGATACCTGTTGGTGAGAGGTCCCACAAATGGGTTGACCAGAAGTTGCATCATGGCCTTTGAAGCAAACAGAACCCCAACCCGAATGTTCTCTTGCTCCAAGAACTCTGTGCCTTGCAAGCAGTTGTTTGTCTGTGCTGAGATGGCTTCAGTGACTGGAGGGGGAACAGTGCCAGAAGTGCCATTGGTCCATGCTGTGCCGCTGGGTGCACTTTCTTCAACAGCTACAGTGTTGTTGTCAAAGAAGGAAAAGATGGTGGAAAAGGCAGGAGAGGCCAGGGCAGGTGAGGAACTTCTGGCATGGCCAAGGTGCAGAGAAGAGTTGCCTTCTTTGAACTCCGTGGCATATAGGAAGGTGGGCACAATAGGCACTGGAAATCAAGGAGGACAAGTGATGGAAGCTAAGGACAGATTGTCATTTTACCACCATTAAGTTCAGGGACATTATGATGGAGTTCATTTTTATGATCAGGGATGGTGTCTCAGCGACACAATTTAGCCCACTGAAAGATTGTGCCTGCCCAAATTATTCTGTTAGCTAAAGGACCTAAATTCTGATCATCATACAGTTAATCCCTATTATTCATAGATTCCATACAGGCTAATTTGCCTACTTACTAAGATTTATGTGTCACCCCCAAATCAACGTGCGCTGAACTATCACGATTTTTCACAGAAATGTCCAGCTGAGGCGGAACAAAGCGGGCTCTGCCTTCCTGTTTCAGCTCTCACACAAACATGACCAAAGAATGGGGATGGGAGGAGACAGGGCAGGATGGTGATAAAAGCCCCAGCTCTGGGACCCTTAGACAGGGCTTGAATCCCAACTGACACCCATTATCAGGGTGGTCTCGAGCAAATCATTTAACACTTCTGAACTTCTTTTTCTCTCTGGTAAAGAAAATAGAATTTACCAGGATGCTTAGCATTTAAGATTATAACCTACGTGTGTGTGATTCTTCTAAGAGCAAGATTCAGCAGTATACACGAATCCAGTGTGTACACCAACTTTATAGGACATAATTTTAACTATTGAACCACCAATAATGAGAACTGACTATACTGGCTTAGCAACATGTCTCAGGGAGATTCTTATTTAAAAGCATAGGCTATGTGTGGTGGCTCATGCCTGTAAGCCTAGCACTTTGGGACGTCAAGGTGGGAAGATTGTTTGAGCCCAGGAGTTCAAGACTAGCCTAGGCAACATAACGAGACCTCGTCTCTACAAAAAATAGAAAAATCATTAACCAGGTGTGGTGGCGTGTGCCTGTAGTCCCAGCTACTCAGGGAACTGAGGCAGAAGGATTGCCCGAGCCCAGGAGTTTGAGGCTGAAGTGTGCCATGATCACGCCACTACACTCCAGTCTGTGTGACAGAGTGAAACCTCAACACAAATAATAATAATAATAAAATAAAAGCATATATTTTATCCAGGAAGGGCAATCTATTAGTGCCCATTTATACAGTGGTAGAACTTAATGTAATGATTAAGAGAGTATCAACTAGAAAAAACTGGACTGCCAGGGAAAGATCCGCAAGAAAGGTGGGTCTTTTTAAGGAGTTGGATGTCCAAATAAAGTATGCCACCTTGGAAAGGCAACAGTGAGACAGACACTCGAGTCATCAGCACCTTGGGAAGACAGGAAGGAAAGTGCGACCAATTCTGGCTCCCAGTCACCTTATTTTCTGGTCAGACACTCTCTAAACCTCTTCTTTGAATCTCTGGAATCCTTTAGCAATGGTCGCCAATCTTCAGATTCCATTGGCCACCGTTTGTTTTCTAATCCCTAGCAGCCTCTGCATGTTTTTCAGCATTAAAAGTAAAATTCTCAAGTGCACTCACTGCTGAAATTGAGCAGGGTGTGTGTAGCCTGCTGGGGCCCACAGTAAATTATCTCTCAGCACAAAGACCCCCAAACGTACCCACCACAGTAAGCAGCATGTTGTCCAGGAGCAAAGCCACGAACACCACCACCAGCACCAGCTGCCGGGATGTCCTCCCTTCCCTCAGCAACCGCTGCGGAGCGTCCAGAACAGTCCGGAGCATGGTTAGGGCTGGGCTGGGGGAGTCTTCTCCTTCAGGTTCCTAGGGTGGGGCCTGTGACAGCTACAGGTGTTCTGCAGCCTTTACAGGAGACGGGGGGACGTCTACCCAGATGAGCGAAACTCACTATTAAAATGAAAAGTATAAAGGGTTGCAAGTAGTGGGATGGTATTCAGAAGTTTTTTGTGTCTATATCGCTGTTCACTTCTAATTCTAATTCCTCTCAATACCTCTACCTGGTTCCCAGGACACCTTTCAGGTAAACACGGCTTACCAGCTATTTATAGCTGGAATTATACCTAGCATATTAAACAGACACTACAGATTTCCCAGTCCTGTGTCTCTCAAACATCAGACATTTATTTACTTATCACCTTGATGGTTTATGTCAGATATGAGGACTACCTTTACCATTTTACTTCATCTTTTCCTCCAAGTTCACTCTTTTAAAATATTGAAATACTGCTAGGCATAGTAGTATGCCTGTAGTCCTAGGTACCTAGGAGGCTGAGACAAAAGGATCACTCAAGCCCAGGAGTCTGAGTCCAGACTGGGAACATAGCAAAACCTTATCTCAAAAAAAAAAGTAAAAAATTAAAAAACCACAACATAAATATTGAAATAAAAAGTAATTTTATGAGGCATATTAAAAATATAGATAGTGTCTATATATCACCCAAAAATTATGGTCTATGCTTCTTTTCTTTTTTCTTTATTTCAATAGCTTTAGGGAGTACAAATAGATTTTGGTTACATGGTTGCACTGTAGAGTGGCAAAGAAGTCTGAGTTTTAAGTGTACCCACTACCCCTAATAGTCTATGTTCTATGAACCACCCCAAAATATCTCATATGGCACAGTGTCACTTGACTGCCCACTGAAAAACATTGGCCTAGACCAACCTTCATCTCACAGATGAGAAATCAGACTCTGGGGGTTAAGAGATTTATTTTGGGTCACACAATTAGTGTCAAACTGGGATAAAATCCCAAGCTTTTAAACTTTCAGGCTTACAGTCTGCCATTTTCCCTTGCTCTGCGACACTCTCATTCTTTTGTTTAAACTATAAACCCTGCTCAGAAAGGTACATTACTCTATGTAAATAAAATACTAACTTCCACGGTTAGTTTTCAATTTAGTATTTTATATCATTAGCCATCATTAAGTCACAGTTTCACAGTACCTTGTCGAACTTCAGGTAATAACAGTTTCTGTGGAAAATTTAATGTTCTTTTACTAAGGCTTCAGTTGTGAATTCAACAGTACCAATCATTTAAATTTTAAAATAGATTGCTGTCATGAAATATATCAGGTTCTAAAAATGGTGTGCCCTTTGACTTGGTAACTCTATTTCAAGATACCTATCCTAAGAAAATGATCAGAGGTGAAGCCAAAGCTTTATGTTAAAAATTATTAGTTTTACATATTAGTGAAAGAAATGAAACATTATAATGATGGAAACCTAAGCAGCTCTTAAAAATTATGTTTTTAAATACTTTTACTTACTCAGAAAATACCATTAATATAATGTTAAGCCTAAAAGGATATTAAACTGTATTAACAGCTTGACCTCATGTAAAAATAAATATACATGTATATTTTTGAGAGACTAGAAAGTTTCTTAAATGCCACTATGTATAATTCATTAATTAAATTTATATTCTTTTTCCTTATCTGCAATTTCCAAATATCCTATAATGACTACTTGGTAATTCAGGAAGTAAACAATTTTAAATAGTTATCACCGGGGTTCAATAATCAGCCTTGAATGTTGGAAGTATCCCAAGCATTGGGCTACTCTGTTCTAAGCCCAGGGCTGGAAAAACATCTTCTAGGCTACAAGTGCAAGTGACCAAGGTCCCGAGTGAACCAAATTCCCAATAAATTTTAATCAAAAAGCACATATTATTAAGACCCTTCATTTCTCTATATAAATAAGGTATTTTCAAACGCAATTGTACTTAGAAGGATGAAAATAAGAGACTAAAAGCAAAGAAATGGAAAACTAAAAGATATAAAACAGAATGCAGTACTACCAAGAGAGAAAGGGAGAGGAAAAATAACCACAACAAAAACAAAACAAACAAAACCAGGAATTTGCCAACAAATCAATCGTAAACTTTACTTTATAATCAGAAGAGTCTGATTAGAGGCACAAATTACAAGGAAGGATTGCATTTGTCCAGAGAAAGAAAAAAATCTTACCTTTGAGTCCATCTTGGTGTGTGGCACTCAGGTATTGGCAGCTGTTAGCAAGACTGCAGGGACTCTGTTCGCTGAAAGTGGATGTGCTGATGGATTTATTGCCACCTGTTATTTGAGGATGCTGTGTGCGTGTGTGTGCACGTGAGTGCGTGCGCGCACACATGTGCCCTTTGTCCACAAAGACTTAATTGTAACCTCCAGCAGGTTTCATTCAGACCCTTAGCGCCCTGTGTCAAAGGCAGGAAGGCAGGGCTGGATAGGAAAAAGAGAGGGGAGATATTATCCTAAGCATAATGGCACTGGGCTGCGCTGCTTTTCATCTGTGCTCGTCTATCATTGAACTTTTTAACTCTTGCCTGGTCTGAATAAAAATTGGAAGACAAGATGGAACCACAGTATACTTGCTACTGTCCCTTGCTGCTTAGTCAAAGAGGCCCCAGGTACCCCACTTGCATCCTGGAGAGAAACAAGTCTATCTAAAAAAAGAAATCTATGCATGTTGTTTTCAAGCCATAAAAATTCGACATCTATGACCTCGGTAAAGACACAGATTGTGCACTGCACCTTTGTGTCCCAATACTAACTCAGTGCCTGGTGCCTAGTAGCCTCCAGTAAATATTTCTCGCCTGGATGACGGGATGGATGGTTATGAAAGAAACTGCAGCTCACTGTGGGGTCTTGAGAGGTTCTGACATTAAGAGTCACTGGTGGCTCAAAGAACATAAACAATTTACAAAAGAACAAATATAACCCATGAGCAAGAATAGCATGGGTTTTCTATTTATGGAACTGGTAGACTCCTCGGAATTGTATGAATTAACTACGGGACTTCTGATTTAGGGCTAAGAAGGAAGAAAAGGGCTGTAAAATGAAAACCAGAAGAGAGAAACAGGGAGAGAAGACAAGGATGTCAGTAGAATCTAGTAGTTCTCAAACCGGTGGCTTAAAACAACACACATTTAGTATCCTACAGTTTTGGAGGTCAGAAGTTCGAAATAACTTTCATTGGGTTAAAATCAAGGTGTTGACATGGATGCATTCATTCAGGACTCTGAGGGAGGATTGTTTCCTTGCCTTATCTGGCTTCTAGATGTCTCTTGCAACTCTTGGCTTGTGGCTGCTTCCACCTTCAAAGCTGGCAGTAATGCACGTTCAGTGTTCCCTCTGGCTCTGAGTCCTTGCCTCCCTCCTTCACATATAAGGACTCATGGGATGATATTGGGCCCGCCCAGATCATCCAAGATCATCTTGCCATCTCAAGACCTTTAATCTAATCACATCTGTAAAGTCCCTTTTACCATGCAAAGTAACATACTTACAGGTTCCAGTATTCGGAGGTGGGTATCTCTGGGATGCCATTGTTCTGTCTTTATAGGGAGCTTGGCACACTGGTTCCCCTTACATGCAGACCTTGTGGCCTGAGCCTCTAGGAAAAGAGGAGGTTAGGGCCAAAAGACGGAGGCTGTATTAATAAAAACACTTACAAGACTCTGGTCATAAGGCAGCATCCTGTTTATAATCTAAGTGACAGTTCTGCCATTGTGCCCTCCACCCTAATTTCGGTTCTCTGAGGGTTTAGAGCAGCCACTAGCAGAGCTTGGGTAGAGTAGCCTGACAGGGAAGAAAACGTCGTTCTGAGACACCAGCAAACTGGGATGCCCCCAAATAATTGGGAAATCATAGCTTTGGGAAACTGAGGGCCTGGAAAAGCAGGTATAGGCTACAAATCATCATACCCTGGGCATTAATAAGAATAACAGCAACAATAACAGTAGCCATCATTTATGGAGCACCTATTATTCAAGCATGTTTCCAATATATTCATTTATGTACAATATATATTACATAATATATAAATTTTAACGTAATCATGCTAGTAAGCAAGCCTGGCGTGTTCTATTACTGTTAATAATCAGAGTGTTGTCTATTAAAAGGAACGAGCTCTCAGCTTCTTTTTACATTTTAATGTAAAAAAATGAAGCTGTGGGTATGGTGGAATGGAAACTCATATACACTATTAGTAGCTACGCAAATACATACAATTCTTTCAAAAAAACAATGTGGCTGTCTATCTTTTGTCTCTTAAATCATAAAAATGTTCACATCTTTTGATCCAGTAATTTTACTCAAGAATCTGTCCTCAGAAAATAAGGTAAAACAAGGGGAGAAAATCACAGAAACAAAGTTTTTATTACAGCACTTAGGGAAAAATTGGAAACATCTCAAATGTCTAACTGTGGAAAAATATTTAAGTTCATGGGCATGAAGGACTATCATGTTGGTGTTAAAACAGAAGAAAGAGATTATTATGAAAAATATATACCAAACTGGAAAAATTATATCTAAATATATAATTTGTATTCATATATTACATATATGTAACATATGTAATATTTTTTATTTGTATTATATATATATATACACACACACAGAGAAATTATGATGGGAAATGAAAAAGTAGAATATAAAACTTTATATATATACATAGCAACATTATGCACAATAGCAAAAAGGTAAAAGCAACAGAGGTCTAACAATGGATGAATGGATAAGCAAAATGTGAGCTAGGCATGGTGGCTCATGCCTGTAATCCCAGCACTTTGAGAGGTGGAGGTGAGAGGATTGCCTGAGCTCAGGGGTTCGAGACCAGTCTGGGAAGCTTGGCAAGACTTCGTCTCTACAATAAATTTAAAAATTAGCCAGGCATGGTGGTGTGCATCTATAGTTCCAGCTAATTGGAAGGCTGAGGCAAAGGATTTCCTGAGCCCAGCAGATGGAGGCTGCGATAGCCATGAATGTGCCACCGCACTACAACTTGGGCAACAGAATGAGACTCTGATTCAAAAAAAAAAAAAAAATGTGGTATACAATGTAATGTGAACCTTAAAAAAAAAGAAAGAAAGAAAGGATAAAATTCTGACACATGATACAGCATGGATGACTCTTCAGGATATTATACTTAGTGAAATAAGCTAGTCACTAAAGGACATATACTGCATGATTTCACATATCTAAAGCTCTTAGAGGAGACAAATTTAGAGAAACAGAAAGCAGAGTCATGGCTTCCAGGGCCTGAGGGAAAGGGGAAGTGGGGATTGTTTAATGGGTATAGAGTTTCAGTTTTACAAGATGAAAAACTCGTGGAGATTTGCTGGTTGCACAACGATGTGGATCTACTTAACACTGTTGAACTAGACACTTAAAAAGAGTTAAAAATGATCAATTGTATGTTATGAGTATCTTGCCACAATTAAAATTTTTGGAAAACACTTTGTGTACATGGTGATTACATATTTATAAGTGGCCATGCTAAATGGCAAAGTTATGGATGGTTTTTAATTTATTATCCAAACAGTAGTGAAAACAAGTGTTTAAGTCACCAGTAAAAAGTAACAGCTCAGTCTATATGTAGATATACTGGGGCACTCTGAGCCCTTGCTAAGGAATAATGATTTCTAGCCAGAGCAGCCATTTTCAACCTCTCGCACTGAAAGGGAAGTTTAAAGCTCTTTGACAGTGATTCTCTTATCTTTCCAGTTAAAGTGGCCAGTACACAACATCCTCAGACAGACAGGTTTTTCTCCAGGCCAAATAATATACATAACCCAATTATACTCATTTTGGGCTGTGGCTGACATGGCCTGCCAGGGTAGATGGTCCTGTGACTCAGATGTGGAGGGCGCTTTTGTTTCTCATTGCTTCCTGTTTCCCTTGCTGTTCAAATATTTAACAATCAGTTCCGACTTCTCATATTGAGCATATGTCATCGTTCCAGCCACAGACTAGAAACTGACTTTGGTTCGGAAGTCACAGGCCTCTGGAAAGAAGTCCAGGGAAAGGCCAGGGGTGTTGCTTTATGGCCACGAGTTACATGGCATTGTGGAGTGGATCTGTCTCCCAAAAGGTAAGGAATTGCTTATGCCTGTAAAGCCAGGGAGGTGCTGGAAACTAACTCCAAGGGAAATAGATGCTTTTTAAAAAAGCAAAATCAGCATAAGCTGGAACCTCACTGGAAAGTTCTATTGTAGGCACACTGGCAGCAAACTCAGCAATACATACATAGACTAAGGACAGGAAAATTGAGCACCCCTCTACACATACACTAGCATCCCTCCATCCCCAGTCCTCTTGAGGAAGTAGCCCTGACTACGGAGACAGCAGACAAAAAAAGGTTTAAAGTTCAAGCACATACAGAATCCACACCTGTGAAATCAGCTTCCTTAACCGAAGAACCAAGTCCCTTCAAACAGTCTGACTTTCCTCTGGCCAGGGTTACAGGGAGAGGCCTCAGGCGTCCCATTACATTGCAGAACTTGGCAGTGGGTTGTCCTGCCAACCTATCAGGAGGTGCATAGGTTATATGCAAATACTAAGCTATTTTATATCAGAAACTTGAGCATTCGTGGATTTTGGTTTTAGCGGGAGGTCCTGGAATCAAGCCCCTACAGATAATGAAGGACAAGTGTATGTATGTGATTCCAAGCTATCTAACCTCCCTGTTAACTGTCAGCCTGGCCATCTTCCCCTGACTATCCAGGTGAATCATCTCTGCCTAGTTTGACTCAAGCCCTCTCTGCTTGGGTAATGCAGCCACAGCTGCACAGACTGGCCAGAGCTTCCTTCTCCTTCCCTTTAGTGCTCACCTTGAAGCTATGAACAGAAGAACCAGAACAGCCAAGTCCAGAAGAGGAAATATAATGCTTTATGACACGGGACATTTTGCCTTGAATTAGAGTTGTCTGTTTCTAGATGGTAAACTACTTACAGACTGGGGTTCTATCTTACCTATCTTTGTATTCCATATAGCACTTAGCATCTGGGCCAGCAGGGGTGCTCAGTAACTATTGCTTGTTGTTGATAATGCTCAGGAAGAGGCATTCTTGCCTCTCTGGGCATCACAAAAGACTGGCAAAGCTATGTAAAGCCCTGAAAGAGACATGCACTTTCCCAGTGCCCCATTGCATAAGAATGGGAATAAGGACATTCCACCTTCCACTTGGAATTCAGCTTGCAAACGCACCCATCTTCGACTGTTCTATAAGCACAACG